TCTGAAAATGGTGGATGATGGCTTTTAATGAAAACGGAGAAGCAACGATGACGACGGAAGAAAACATAGACAGTGGTCGACAGTGGACAAAAAAACAGTGAACAGTGGACGAAACACAGAGACGACGACAGTAACTATGGACGAAAACGAGAACTGTGTTCGGAAAACGAAAACAGAGATAGTAACGAAAATAATGGTCGACGGTGGACAAAAACGGAGACGCTGATCGACGGTGGACGAAAACAGAGACAAAAACGGTGGTTGACGGTGGACAAAAACATAAACTATAAAAGATGACTGTGGACAAAAACTGTCAATGGTGGACAAAAACATAAATAGTGACGGAGACGGTGGTCGACAGTAAACGGTGGACGAGTGGTGGTGGGGATGGTGGAGAACATAAACATACACCAGTGTCATACATCAAGGGTAGAATTGTGTTTTTACTTGGGTGTCAATCCAATTTATGGCAATTTTGGAAAGACATCACAATAATAAGGCACTTTTTCATGTTTTTGTTACATTACAGACACTTTCTCTTTTTGTAGACACTTGTTATAGTTTACAGAATGATAATACCCATTTTGCCCTTAAAAAAAATTCCTCAAAGAAAAGAAAAAAAATATCTTTTCTCTTACCTACAAACTTCTATGAAACTATCGAAATATTTATTGGCTTGAGGAGAAAAATCAATCCAGTGATTGAAAATTGCTCGGTTAGTACATAAGTAGGAGAGATCTTTTCAGATCTATTTTTAGATGGTCTTTGTCAATTTCTTCTCTTCATCATCGTTGTCTTCCACACCACCGTGACTGGATACAATTCTCCCAATCGCCAACCCATCCACCTCGTTTTGAGTTTATATCAATTACAAAATCAGGTTTTTCAATTTGGCTTTGTGTGCTTCGGTTTCCTCGTACCCATCATCATCATCTCCTCTCTTATGCAAACAAAGAAAAAATGGTTGCTTTCTCTCATTTAACGTTTTGTTTATTTTCTCCGCAATTGGTTTCTTCTTTCAATGAATTTGATGAACAATTAATTTACACCAAATCAAGCTCGATTGTAATTGATGAACAATCTCCGCAATGAGTTCATTATGTAATGGACTATGTCTCATGGATAAGTTTGTATGGACATGTTATCATGGTCGACGTAGTTGGTGGTGTTTGTTTAGGGATTCTAAAAGCTCTCTTTGCTCTTCACTTTATGAGATTAGAACAAAATTTTGGGAGGCTAGTTACAAAATGTTTATCATGCAAAGATTTAGAGAACTGACTTATTGAATATTTAATGTCCTTTGTTATGTTTACAAGGCAGATGGTTAAGTTAATATAGATGGAGGATTGGTTGAACATATTTTATATGATGATTAATGCTTTATTGGTGTGATGATCTGTAACGTCCGTGAACCAAAAAGAGGATTTTTTTTT